ACGGTGGGAAAAACCCGGTGCTGAGAGAGCAGGCCTCGACGCCTTTGGGGGACGCAGGCGCTGGTGGGAATCACGAGCGTCGAACCACAGGGCGCTGTTTCCTTCAGGAATGTATCTCTAAAAATAAGGTGCCATTCCCGGGATTTATGTTCAAAACGGGCATTTCTCTTCGCCTCGCAACCCACCTTCCGGTATGAAGTTTTGAAGCGTTTTACAGCAGCCCGAGTCAGCCGCCGTGCAGATACCTGCACCCAGAAACGTCGGGTTAGGGGTGTTTTGCTCAGATGGTGTACGTTATTACAATTATTTCTGTTTAGTATTGAGACAATAAAATCGGACATCTGTTCTGTCTATGTACTGCTGCTACAAAAAGCTTTCCATATAGGATCAATATAGATTGTGCTATGAAAGCATACAAAAAAAGAGAAAACCTCCACATCTTTAAAAATTTCAACCGTCTCTGGCACTAAGCGTCAACAGCAAAAGACAGGTCCCAAAATGTGTGCCATCGTTCCAGCTGATTTGTTAGCCCATAAAAGGGTATTCTGTTACCCTTTTGATGTGCTTCTCTTTGGTAAATTTAATTTCCTATATATCTGCTGGAATGACATATACAACAGTGCAATTACAATTTAGTGTTTTATATCTTGCAGATGATGAATAATACCATACAGTGCTTCCTCTCTCGTTTTCCCATACACGGTATCTCTTCCAAACTTCATTTTTCTCAGGCTTTGTGTTTGCTGTGTCACAGTAAATCCTTCCTCCTGTTGAAATTTCAGTGACTGTTGCAATATTTGTAGGAATGTTCTGTTTACCAAAATCAAAAGTTGTCTCATTCTGTTCTTGCTATCTGCTACAATTATACAGTTTTAACCAGACAAACCATAAATTATAAGAATTATTATTTCAGACTTAGGTCCACAATATAGTCCCCATTTCTGGTATAAAGCAGCCAAGTGTGCACAGCTTTAAAAGTCAAAGACAAGTAATAATAAAAAATGGCATGGGAAAGGCTGGAAAACTCCTTGGGAGCCAGGTACCATGTTCCTCTTTTTCTGCACCACTTTCCCAAGAATGTTCCAAATAAATTCCTTCTTTCCTATTGGCCCATGTTTTATTCAAGCTTTTTCTCTTGCAAAATTGTGTGTTAATTTTGTGCATGTCCTTTTTGTCCTTTTCTTCTCGATTCCCTCTTTACTTAGGGAATCCCCCTCCCCCCTTATGCCAGGAAGAGAGTCCCACTAAATACAAGTTGAGTTCTTTGCCTTAGAAATCTCATGAATCTCACTGTGTAGCTGTGGGAGAAGGATTGCCACTTTCAGCTCCTGAAGTTACACTGGATGCATGAGAATGTCAATATATAGTCACCACATTTTTGTGTTTGCAAAGAAAAACTTGAAAATATAAAATTTGAAATTTCCATTGTCAATCAACAAGTGTAGGCAGTGACTTTTTAAATAAAATACTAAAAAATGAAAAAAATCCGGACTGATTCTGCTTTTTAATGTTTAGTGTTGGCAGTACACCCTCCTGGTTATATTTACCTTGTGAAGTATTTTTGTGCAGTTTCTGGATTCATTATAAATTATTTTAACGCACACATAAAGAACAGATGTCACCTTCATATGGGTCCCATTTGGAAGCTGCCAGCATTAGTAATGGCAATATAAGAAGAGAGATGAGCTGCCTGGATAAACAAGATACTCGTTCAAGAACCTGAGGTGTAGGCAAGCTCTGGAGTGATGAATGTTGTAACATTTGATCTGCTCCTACCTGTTGTACTTCAAAGGCTCTAGAGTGAGCAGCCTGTACCCAAACTGACTGTATTCCTGCCCTATTTTTGTTAATAGGCAATGACACATCGGACGCACTCATGTGCATTAAAGAAGGCACACGGCACCTCATTCAAATGTGTGTCCCCATTAATAAAGATGCTCAGCAAAGATAATTGCCAAGTTACTTAAGCAAATACGCTTAGAGTGCCATCTAGCCATTAACTTTGGAACCAAGTAACTATTCTTTCATTTTATGTCTCCTAAAAGGCAGCTCTGCCCCTCTACGGTGATGCAGTAATATATACCAAAAGCATTATCCTCAAGTGACTTGATGTCCTTGTGTGAATACCTCCCAATGACTCCAGAGCTGTATTACAGAGACAACTTGCCTTAGAGATGCAAAAATCCGATTTCCTCAAACCTGCAAAGCTTAATATGTTCAACTTCTATTTGGCATTACAACCTTACTTGGAGCTTTCTAACGGTAATGGTTAGTTCTTATATAGCAATTTTAATTAAGGGAGCTCAAATTAAATCATAAAGAAAATTATTCCATGTATAGGGATGGGAAAACTGAAGCATTTGTTGTTAGTCCAGTATCACAACACAGTGACAGGCTCAGAAGAACCCATGTATTTGTCCTAGGCTGCTGCCTGTTCACTCAGCATTACTGTCAGAGGGGGAAGACTGGGGAAGACAGAATTATTCTTTGAGGTAGCTAGAAACCTTTCACTGTAGTGGTTGGAATTACATCTTCCTGTCATTCACTGCTAAGCAGACACTTTTGAGATGTACTCAAAGCCCATGAGAAATTTGTGGAAATCATGAGTACTTCACTTTTAGCTCAGCATTGGAGAAATCCACCCTTTAAGCACCTACCACTCTGTTTTTCTCACTTCCGTAAGTCCATGAGTGTGATGTAATCATCCTCCATTCAAGCTGGTAAAATTGAGGTCAGAATTAGATTACCACCACAACTTTTGAAGTGATAAATGATAGTTTGCAGACAGAATCAGTGAAAATACAGTCTTAGAGGCAGCCAATATCAAGAAGCATCAGGGTTACAGAATAATGTGATATTTGTGTAAGGAGCAGTATTAGCCTAGCCTGAAGGAAAACATACTATTTTCCTCAAAAAGAAAGAAGGCTGATTGGGTGGGGGAGCACATTAAACTGACATATACACACTGGTTATCATTTATAGCTAAAATTTTATTCAAGCTTTTTTTTCTTTCCTCTCAGGTATTGCCATTCCCCTCTTTCACTTTTTCTAAATCCAACCAATGAAACCTCCATCTTGTGGAGTCCACTTCCTGCCGTGCCTTCAGCATGTTTTCTCTTGTCCCAGAGTTCTTCCTATGTCCTGCCTCTGTAGTCCACATGTGTAGGCATCTATGTGGTTTTGAATGTGCGAAGATAAAAGCTAAAGTGGCGAATGGCGTCAAATGCATGTAGACATTGGGCCACTTCAATGGCACCGTGCCCTGTAAGCAAGACCTGAGCCTCAGTTTTCAAGTTTCTCTTGAAAACAGTTGCTCAGTACTCTCTATCTTGCGTACAGTTTTCCCCAATCTATAGTCTGCTTTTTTAACGTACAAAATTCCTCTTCCATTTCTTCTTTTCACTGGTAAGTTGGTACTTCTTGTACTTTTTCCCATGGTCTCGAACAGCTTTCCTGACTATTTGCATCTGAGTGACTCTGTCTACATCTGGTTTCCCTATCTACAAACACAGCACAGAGCCGCGCAAGACTAAGAACCAAAGCGTCACGACTTCTTGCAGCTCTTTTGTCTAGGCTTAGTAGGCTAAGCAGCAAAGTATTTTAAGCCAGCGGCAGCGCTGCTGTACTGCTTCCAGTATTTGAGTCACCACGGGGACCTGTGTGTGCCGACTCTTTGGCCACAGACTTACCCGCAGGGTCAGTGCCTGGTGCGTGTCAGGCCTGTGCAGGGACCTGAGCAGAACACAGCAGTTTAACAGAAATAAATTGAGAAGTTGACCTGAGGAAGTCGCTGTAGAACTACTCTGGGGAGACCTTTACAGCAGTCTACATCCCTCACTGAGTGATATAGCTTACATCAATGAATCTCAAAGGTTTTATAGCTGAATCCTATGGAAAGCTCCTGAAAAAGGAAATAATTATTACAAGGCAGTACCACAACATAAAAGTTGCATAAAATGCTTTCATTGATTTTTTCTTCCATCTTCTTGATTGCATAATAGAAGAATCCCTATTTCTGTGTGCTATTGTCTTCTGAAAATCAATATGTTTATAAAATGCAGCCTTGACAGACAGCATGTCCTCATATCTAACAAAATTACTACCAAGGAGCCATTTTTCTTGCCGCAAAGATGTCTTGAGACATTGTACAGCTGCAGATTGGGTATCTCATTGTAGCCTCTTCATGGGTTTAGCAGGGTGCAGGCAGCTACTGGATCATACCAGATAACTGAGGCTTCACAGATCAGCTCCTTTCTCTACAGTCTGCTCCGTTCTGTTCCCTAATATAACCACAGTTTTATTTTTGTCTTTTTAAAAAGTTTCTTTAGAGTTACAAAGAAAAAAACATCAGATTACCAATTTATCCTTAATTGGTGTGATTTTTTTCTTGTTTAAAAGTAGAAAAAGTAATTTTTTCTGAGATGAGAACGTTCTCCATCTCCTCTAAGCACTGATTCTGAAGTTTTAGTTACAAATCAGGTGGAAACATCATTCGTTTTTTGCAGCTGGAGAGAGCACCTGAGCAAAGAGAGACAGTAACTAGGTGATGTTTCCCCTGCAGAACATAAAAGTGAGAAGGGCAGCTCCCATTACAATCTGCACACGTTTTGTGCCCTGATGCTCAGAGCAGGTTACGGCTCTTGCTTCCTTGTGGTGTAGAATGGGAAAACACTACTACTTTTTCCTAAATTTGATCCCCATGCCACCTGGACAGTCTAAGTCCTGGGACTTCAGGTATCTCAGTTTTACGTTTTCCTTCTCCTGTGCTGAGTTAGCAAATGGAGGGGGCAGGAGCAGGGGCAGGGGCAGGGGCAGGGGCAGGGGCAGCAGCAGGAGCAGGAGCAGGAGCAGGGGCAGCAAAGCTGGGAGCAGGAGGAACGCGGGTGCTTTCCCTGTCCTGCAGGAACTGCTTTGGCTGCTCTGTATCTTTAAGGGGCTGACCCGATCCCACGGTGAGGCATTATAAAGGCAGGTAAGCAGCAGTGCCCTGATCAAAGAGCTGAGAGCAAAGCGGGGTGCAGCTCCCCTATAATGACTGCCCTCCACAGTTGGGGATATGGGCAGGATGACGGTAGGTTATAGCGTTTCTGTGCTGCATCTCTCTCTCTTCCCCCACTCATTTTCTTTCTAGAACTGTTGTCTGAGCCCTGCAGAGCTGCCTGCATTTCCATGCAAGATCAAGTATATACAGCAGGTAATTAATTACTTTATTGATAATAACTAGCACCCAGAAAGTGGCCCCAAAAGATGCACAAACTTACGCCTGCCGCCTTTCATTGTTGCGATCAATGTTCCAAAACTGAGGGAAGTAGTACCAAGTGGTTTTTTTTTCAGGCTGCAGATATTACAGATGGGTCCCTTTCCAAAAAGCTGTTATGAAAAGGATTAACTCTGTGTGTCTCTCCAAAAGCAATTATTTTAAGTAAAGAAGATTTAGTAGAGCAGTAATAGATCTTCTGATCCTGTGCAGCTGTTGAAATGTGATATCTAGGCTTTCATAGAAGTGAATAAAATGAGGTATATGTTATATATTTCTAGAACATCAATAAATTGTACAGATCAGTATTGGAGATCTTTTACAGAACAATTTATGCTTTCTGATTTGACAGTTTTTAATTTAGTCATCCTCCTTTGCTTCCCACCTCCAAGAATGTGTGTCACAGAGTGAGAGGATATGTGAAGCTACTGAAAGATTCCTACAACAGTGTTTTATAGCACCTGTATCCTTTACAGAGAAGGATGGATGAGTGACTGGTGGTGTCCAGCAAGACAATCATTCACATAACCTTCAGGAGTGTCTCTCTCTTTTGACAACACTTATTTTGGCTGCTGAGTGTCTAATGAGTCTTTTGCACAACCTTCAGGAGCCAGTCTCTCTCTTTTAACAGCAATTATTTTAGTTTCGGTGAGTCCAGAAGCAAGCCTGAATGCTAAGTGAAGCTGGTTAGTGCTAGTAGATAGTGTTATGGTTTGGCTATATAGGTAGTAGTAACAAAGCTATGTATATTCCTACAAAGCTCGTAAGAGACAAATTACATTGCCTAAGCTTGTGTAACAGCATTTAAATCCTAAATCTGCTTTATAGGCAGGCTGAGAAAAGATACCATTTTGTAAGCCTAGCATTTTCAGAAAATGCCAAAGACAAATAAGAATCTAACAGAGCACTGGTTTTGTTACATAAACCGAAGGAGGGTAAATACCTGTGCTTGATTAAAAAAAGTTTCCGCTTCTGAAAGTATGTGAGACTGCTACAATTAAAAATGTGCTTCTTGGGAATCTTAAAGTAAAATTGTTACTGTTAATACTTTCTGAACATAAGCAGTAGAAGAGTTTGATTGTTTCTTGCACTACCTATATTAAAGTAGAAAAAGAAGTGGTCAGAATAAGTAATTCTTTGATACAGATAAGGTTTTGTTATCTCAAACAGCATAAGAATGTTCCAGCTCTGGCAGCAGAGCACTGTGTTATTAAATTGGTCTTTCTCCCCACTCTATTGGGGTCAGGAAGTCCAAAAATGTTAATTATCACACCCTACCCTTTACTCAGGGCATAATGGGCATGAGTGAAGAATGAAGCTGCCTCAAAGATTTACTGCAGTCATAAAATGGTTTTAAAAATAACTGCATAGTCAGTAGCTAAGAGATTGAGTCATCTGCATCTAATTTGAATCACCGGAGCTTTTACACTATCTTTCCCAGGAAGAATTAAATGCTCTTTCTTTGGAGGAGTGTATGTGTGCATGCAAGTGTGTTTATACCTGCACCCACCTTGGAAGGTCTTCAGGCACCTTAGCAATGTAATTACAAACTGCAGAAAACTAGTGGCACAAGTAACTGAAGATACAGCAGTCTGTTGATGTGCTGTGTTTTTCTCAGTGTGTTTTGTACAAGATATTTGAATCCCCCATCTTGCTGCAGCCTGTTTGTGCTAATAAAAACACACCAGCTTAGAATTTAAGCGAACTTCTTGGATACCAAACTTTCAAGTCACTCCTGCTCAGCAAGCTTTGCTTCAAGCCTCATGAAAACCTGTAATAATTACTTTGTGTAGAGTAGGAAGAAATTCATGGTGCTTTTCTTTCTTTCCTTTTGAAGGACCTTCAGAGTGGCACAAATCTTATCCTATTGCCAAAGGGAACCGGCAGTCACCTATTGATATAGTTTCTGCAAGAGCAGTTTATGACCCTAATCTGAAGCCACTTGTTATCTCCTATGAATCATGTACATCTCTCAACATCTCCAACAATGGCCATTCGGTTATGGTTGAGTTTGAAGATACTGATGACAAGACAGGTGAGACTAACACACAGCCAACTAACTCACAATACCATTTTGTGACTTAGGAAGGGAAACAAGTACATCCTGTATAGTATATTTTATATTATGTATGATTTCAGTTTAGAATAAGGCATATCACCAGAGCCCTTTATATTTTGTTGTCTTAAGCCTCACGTTTGTCTTCACTTGCGCCTCTCTAGCAATGCAATATTGCACAGCAGAATAGTGTTTCTGCATTGGGAAAAGCTCTTGCATCAGGAAAATCAGAAGTTTGTTTGCAGTGCTTCCCTTTTAAATGGGGATTGTCAGTTTGCTAGACAGGGAAACAATGCAACTCTCCAGCACTCCTAGACCACATCCAGATGCAGAGTACCCTCCTCACTGCCCTGTTTCCATGATCATCCAAATTGAAGATGCTAGTACACGTGCCAGCTCTGTTGGGCTCGCTGCCTGGTTTCCATCCACAGGGGTAGGGAAGAGAAGAGGATTAGCAGAGATCGGGTCATACAGTGTGGTCATCATAATCATAGTCTACTACACCAAGTTGTATCTGGACCAGTCACTAACTGTTACCTTGCATTGTTTTATTCCTTCCTCCCTGCCTCATAGCAGTTCACTATTTTCAGAAACTATAAAAACTTCAGCTAATTCTGAGTTGGTAGCAGCCTATGGATGTTGGACTATCTGCAGTTGTATATTATTCTTGTCTCTTAGCTCTTGGCAGAGAATATAAAATGCTTTAAGTGATTGATTACTTCTGTTAATTCTATGTCCATGGTAGACGTTGCTTTTACATCTGGGGGATAGGGGAAGAGCATTCAAATGGAGATGAAGTAGCTGATAAATGGAAAGAGTACTTTAAAAAGACACTGAACAATTTTTAAACCTGTCAGCTGATTTCATCTTCTATTTGGGTGTGTTTATTGATTCTAGCTAAATAGGATATCCTAGATACTCAAGTTACTACTTCACAGAAGTGACTTGTGTGTGCTGGTAACCCTTTGAAATAAGGCCTGGGGGTTAATTCCAGCCATTTTGTTTTAAAACTTCTCTTCTGGAATGAATCTAAAACTGCCCAACGAAATGATCAGGTTTTCAAGTATCTTTACTGAATTTGAAGAAAAGATTGGATGTGCATTTTCCAACATCTTAACCAAACAGATCCATTAAGCATGTCACAGTACAAAGATAATTTGTAAAATATATACCTGGAAGTATTACCTTAGCTTGCTAACTACTCTTGTGCAATTCTAAGCTGAACTATATCTATGTAACAGTGAACTTTATCCAGCTTTATAAGTTTAACATCATCTATTACTCTGCATTTAGAGATACAGACTCAGAGCACATGCAGGAATGAAGACCTCTGCCCTTTCTACACTAAGCATATGCCTTGTTTTAATAACACTTTCAAGGAAGAAGATTGCTAGGAGTGGAAAACACAGTTTAAAGTGTTTCTAGTTGTGTTGAAATAGATCTAGTGACTCACAGCTCTGCATAAATGGCACAACAAAATTTTGACAGTAACCCATCATAGCTAGATTTATTAAAATAATGTTTAAGACAGGCAGTGCATTCCATTGCTAAGTTCAGAAAAACATACTAGGAGGTACTTATAATTAATACTAAAACCTTTGCTTTGGCAAGGCCAGTTCCATGCAAAAAAGCCAACTGGAACTAGGCACATGTGGTAGCATTGTGCGAGCCTCAGGTTTAATTTTTTTTTTAATAAAATGGTACAGACTACACTGAGGATAAGTGCTTTACAGATACCAAATGTAATTTTAATATTCTTAATATAAGACTTCAATCAGGTTTTCATGTCTGTTGGGAAAAATTTATTTGATTGAGTGCCATATAGAATTGCAGGAGCATTACTGATGCTGTTGATAAAGTATCTTCTATAGGTGACATCTTAAACATTCATCTGTTCTTAAGTGTTATTTCTAAATGATGTATGAAGTTTCTTGGTAGCATTTCCTCACCTTTATAAGGTGATTTGAGATTCTGAATGGTGTCATGTAAAGTACAAGCTATTATATTACCTCTTTTATGGGATCAGGTATTTAAAGGAAACAGAATGTAGATAACCTCCATAGGAAGGGAAGACACTCTGAAGAGGAAATACTTAGCTGAATTGCCTACCTGATGCTCAAGGTGTCTACACTCTCTTGCACAAAATCTCAAGTAGCACTGTCAAAAATATTTTAGGTACATGAGTTTCAAATTGAGATTTTTTTTTTAATATTCAACTTGAATTTATTGTGTTTAACAAGAAAGGCATAATCAAATGAAGCTACCACATCTTCATATGTCAAATATACTCTTTCAAAAAAGCTACAAAATTCTGTACAAGAAGCCACTCAACTTTTTTTTTTAATTAAAATTTTTACATGAATTCAGGTACTTTCCATTAAGAAATCCAACCCTTCTAAATGTCTGGAAGATGCATATCTTGGATATTGGCAAATGGGAGACGCTGCTAGCTTTTTTTTTTCCCAGTATTGTGCCAACAGTGGTTATTTTTTACTAACAGGAAGCTAAAAAGCCAGCATGCTTAAGCTTTTTCCTCTTTTTTTTTTCTGCCTAGCAATCAGTGGCGGTCCCTTTGAGAATCCATTTCGGCTAAAGCAGTTTCACTTTCACTGGGGCACAAAGCACAGCCAGGGATCGGAGCATACAATTGATGGCAAACCTTTTCCATGTGAGGTAATGATGTGTTTTTACAGATGGGATTAATTCACGCAAATGCTGTTGACAAATGACTTTGTCTGCAGTGGGGACTGCATGCCCCTTAGGATTCTGACTGCTTACTCCTCATGGTTAGGTCAGCTCCTTACACTGAAGTTATCTGTTGATCACCCTGGTTTTTAGAAAGTGAACTTATCACCCCAGTGCAGCCCTTTCTCCAAGATTCTCGGTTGTCTTATCCTATTCAACAGGACACAGCTAGCCCCACAGTTTAGCTGCTGTGCTCACGCAGCACCTCTAACAGCCCTTTGCTGCATAGTTTAGCCTGCTGCACACAACTGATTACATCCTTTTACTTGCACAGATGGGGAAGATATACTGACAGACAATGCTCAGAAGCCATGTACAGCTCCGCTACCTGGCACAGTTAGCTTAGGCTTCAGCTGATGATCATGACCTGTGAAATGACCATGCTGGTGCTATTCATAGCTTAGAAATGGCTTCCTCTGAGGCCTCTTGAGAGTTCTACAAAGCTAGGCCAAGGCCCAGGCCTTTCCCAGCACAATCTATCCCAAATATGACAGTAGCATAGCATCCTGGAGTCTGTCAGTGAGTACTGGAGCATAGCGCTTCATTGGATGAATGCCCATACCATGGAAGGTGAGTTGCAGGTTAATGCCCGATTTATCTCAAATTAAGGCTGATATATAGAAGCTTTGTTTAGTGTCTGTCCATGCTTATGGACCAGTCCAAAAGACTGAACTTGCTCATCTTTCCAAAGATGCCTTTGGAGCAAAACCTACATTCTGTTATGAATGACCTTTAGTGTCAATATGAGACAACCTATGTTCACAGCTTCTATCACTAATTTGTTTAATTCTTATCTGTTATTTTTCTTGAAAGCTCCACTTAGTTCACTGGAATGCCAAAAAATATGCAACATTTGGAGAAGCAGCAGCAGCTCCAGATGGCTTGGCAGTAGTTGGTGTTTTCTTGGAGGTAAGAATCACAAAAATAGCACGTTTGCATGATGAAAAGCATTATGCTGTCAAGTGTTTGAGAACCAAGCCACGTATTTAAGAAGTACTTAAGGAAAACAGATGACTTATTGGAAGCATAACTCACTGCAAATTGCTGTTAAGCTTACTTTAGAAGGAATGTTGAGATTTGGGTAAGAAAACAACACCTATTCACAGCATAATAATAGTCATTCTTATTTAACCTGTCTTTTCCATTATTTTAGATTGGGAAAGAACATGCCAATATGAACAGACTCACTGATGCTCTGTACATGGTAAAATTTAAAGTAAGTTTTAAGCTCTTTAAATTTAATTGTTTCTGGGATAGCATTTAAAAATCAAGCTCATGTACATGTTTGAGACAAAAATGGAAAAATCACCCACCACAAATCCTCCCATCATTAGAACATCACTGTAGCTGTGTTCTCCTCTTCCCCTCCAAAGTTCAGCTCATTTGCCTAATCTCAGGTGCCTCCCAAGGCTGTGCAGACCCTCCTGGTGATTCAGAGGTTCAACCTTTCCCAGTGTATCTAAAAGCAAAAGCTCCATGACCCTTCAGGCTTGGTGCCTACACTCAACAAAATAATCCTTTTCCACTGAGCGTAGCCTTGAACAAGTCAAAGCTGGCTGTCTATCTTCTGCTGCACAGCTCTGTCAGGGCACAATCTTAATGAGGTCCTGAGCTCATCTATTCTTACAGGGATACCTGAAGGTGGTCTTTAACCAGAGAGCTTGGCTGAAGAGTGATACCTGTGGCACTTTCTCAAGTGCCAACTGATTAGACCGCTACAAATGTTACCCTTTCTGGATTTACATGAGGTTAATGCATTCTATAATATGCATAAGTTCTAATCTGCAAAATAAACTATATCTAATACTTGAGTGGGCATATTATTTCCTGCTCCTCTGTATATACTTGTGAAAGACAGGAAATGAAGGCAGTTACACAGCAATATATAGCCGGCAGACACTAAAAAATACTTTGATGCTTAAGTGATTTCTTCCACTTGCAGGAAAGAAATAGTCATCCCTCAGTTGTAGCGATGGAAGGTCTGCAGGTTTGCTGCTGGGGATAAGCTGCTCACTCTGTTCCTTATAAGCAATTTTACAGACAATTGGACAGTGCTTTCTGAGTGACTAAGCACCTTTCGGATACAGGCTGAAAAATCTTGCCCTAGACTGTGGTAGTTAAGGTAATCACTACTTCAGGCAGCACCTCCTCCTATTTCTACTGGTCTTTTGGTTGATCCACCTTCCTCTAAAATTAGACTTGAAGATTTGGTTTTTAAAGCCAATTATTTGTCCTAGCAGACAATGACTGTTTGGGGCCAAGTTCTCCATAGTTTCAAGTTTTCTACTGAAATAGATGGAAAGCGTAGAAAATAGAAAGTAATGAGACAAGGAATTCTGACACAATATTATCTATAGCTCACACTGAGCACTATGTACAGAATACCCTTCCTGCATTATTTTCAGACATTTGTGATAAGAGCTGAATTTTGGTAGAGGCAATGGGGCAAGAACTCGAAGTCCAGTAGGCCAGCAGCAGGCATTGCTCTTGCCATGCTACTCTTAGGTAACAGTTGTTATAAGGCAGCAAAACTTTTATAGACTTTTCTTTTTTACTTTCCCCTACTTCTTAATATTACTTTAGCATTTTTTTCCTCTTTCAAAAAGTGTTCTTTAACCTGCACTTAAAAGTAAAACTAAATTTCAAGTATCAATTTTTTTTTTCCAGGGAGCAAAAGCTCAATTTAAAAGCTTCAATCCCAAATGTCTCCTGCCTTTGAGTCTAGATTATTGGACATACCTTGGTTCTTTGACAACACCACCCCTTAATGAGAGTGTAACATGGATAGTGTTGAAAGAACCCATCAGAATTTCTGAGAAACAGGTAAACTTTTGATACTCCTCTAGTTCTTGTAGGATTCAACATTGGATAAACGGGCAGTGACTGTTTTGATTTGCAATGGGGCTAAGTTAAAAGGCATGTGAATAATCAGTCCATTCAATAATCAGGGCTTCTGTGTTTTTCTGTTAATACTTTCTAGGATCCTTGCTTGAACCTGTTCTATTAACAGATTAAAATGTACTGAACACTTTCCTTTGGTCCTTTTTAAAAAACATTAATATTGATTGCCCTCTTAAGCAGTAAATTATTTCACCTGAATTTACAGCTGGAGAAATTCCGCATGCTCTTCTTCACTGATGAGGAAGACCAGAGGATCCAAATGGTGAATAATTTTCGCCCCCCTCAGCCTCTTAAGGGGAGAGTAGTTCGAGCTTCCTTCAAGGCCTGAAGGAAATCAATAATAGCCCTGAGATATCCAAGAGCTTCCACATCTGAGATGCTATAAACAGAAACTCTGGTCTTGAGATCAGTCATGGAACACACAAGATAGCCATTTCCACAAACATTCTACTTGGAGGGGGACAATCTTCTGATTTTATATTTCATTAGAATTCCTCATTCTTTTGAGAAATGGGATCTTTTTAACTAGCCCTTTTTAATATAAGGGATAGCTGAGTAAACTAGAGTGTTCTCCAAGACCTGAAACTCCAAAAATTAAGATGAAATTAAAATCCCACTTAATAGAAAGTGGGAAATCATGTAGTGATCTACTAGTACTGACGGCCACAACTTCTAATTGTCTCATTTAATATATGATGAAACAGTAGTCAAGATTTTTGGACAAATTCTACTTAAACTTTCTTTACCAATCTCTTGTTAGCATTTGCTGAGCTCTGATTTAAAAATTGCTTTCACTGTATTCTTGCTATCTGTCAACACATACAGTGTACATGAGTAGCACTAGAAAAAAGTTCCTTGCCTCAAGTAGGCAGTGGTATGAAAACTACATATCTAGTTTAAAATTAGTGTTCTAAGATGCTCTTTTATAACTAATTTAAAATAACGTAAATGCTGTGTTTAAAAGCAGGCCATTTCATTGCACAGTGTTGTTCAGACATTTGTTATTTTAGCCCATGCAGCAAGCAACTAAATGTCCCCGTCAATTTTCTTGAAAAGAGCATCTATAGCAATTCAGGTATGTGTTTTTGGGGTTCTCAATTGTTCAAATTCTACCTCAGTTAAGTGACTTCCTCTGCAATATGATCTCCTTCATTGTCTGCCCTAAAGAAAGTAGATATTTTGTTTACTTTAGGGATCTAATGTGGGTAGACCTTGACTGCACTGAATGTGCAATGCTGCACAAATCATCCCCTTGCTATGGCGGTCTGTCAGGGATATTCCCTGCAGATATGAGGCTTCATCAGTCCTGAGTCCTTTTACCTCTTCAAAAGAAAATTGCTTTAGAAAAGCCATGTGTTAGTATTACTGCTTCTGCAGCTAGTGACAAAATTCAGACTTGTGTCTCTGGTACTAAATACAGTGATGTTATCTGTAACTACCCACAGTCTATTTGCAGTTACTTTAATTCTGGGCTTCAAATGTTCTACTTCATCTGTATAGTTCAGATGGAAATTGCTGACGTTTATCAGTTTTCATTAGCTTAGATGGAGAAATCATTGAAGATGTAAATGTAAAGGAAAGCAGGGTGAAAAAGGAGAACAGCTACTATGGGCTGTTCAAAGGGAGAAGGACACCAGGTGTGAAGCACAGTACAAGGGATAGAAGACCTAGAATTCTAGACCTAACTCTTTGACAGTTTTTCTGGTACACTGACTTAAAATTTTCTGTTCCTCAGTTTCCTCTTATATAAAATGAGGGTAACACTGACCTACCTCACAGGGATGTTGTGAGGGCTAATTCAGTATTGGTTTAGATGTGAGATTCTTATATAGCAGATGCTAAAGGAAACAAAAAATCATTACAAAATGCAATGGTTTTAGCTATTAAGAATGTAACTTTGCTAGTAATGCAAACTGGTATTGCAGAAAATCTATTTAATGTATCTCAATTTCTTTAAGAAATGAAATAAATGAGACTTTAAAATCAAGTGTGCATCTCTTCATCCTTTATTTTGAATAAACCTACCTCTCCCCACTTATAGCACTGTTTTTCTTGGGCTTTCATTAACAGAAATGCTGTTTGATATCTTCAGCTGATGCATCTATTTTGCATCAAGGAATGATTTGATTGTTTACCTTCAGTTTCATAAAAAAATTGATTATGCTATAGTAGAATAATCTGAGTACAGGTAAAAGTTATCCCTCCCAAGCTTCTGGGCTTTTTTAAAGTTCTAGAAAGCCTACCTCTGTTTAAAAACTATTTTTAGTCTATATCACAATTCTTCCCACCTTTTGGGACTAACAGTTTCTACTTCAGCTTAATCCTTTCACTGAAGAAATTTTGTGCATCTTGAATGACTTCTTCCCCAGTCAGAGTTAAATTATTGTTGTTGTGACTCTTACGTCCCTGTTAAAAATTAAAACATAGGTGAAAAGAGACTCATTTTAAAATGCAAAAAGTCTTTCAAAAGAACTTTAATATTTGATGGCCCAAATAAAATTTATTAGGGGTAAATTAAAATACTTTTCTGATTAAAATTTAACCAATATTACTTACCATATATAGCTTAATCAAGTTACCAAAGTACTGTTGTGTTATTATTCATACACCCTTTCATAGAGCAGGTCACTGCTCAATATTTTCAGTGTTTTCTCTCATTCTAGGCATATAAGTAGGTTTCTGCTCACCGAGTCTCTCAAAAGGTAAAGAGGGCTTGTATACCACAACTTCGTCCAGTTTTTCCCCAGCTACAACCACTCAGTCTAATAAAATAAAAATCTTATTTATCCACAGAATGTGTCCATTTTGTGACCTTGAACACAGTACTTAAGCTTCTTTAAGGGTGATTTACTCATGAACAACAGAAGGATAATGTTTAGCTCACAAGGTTATTGTAAAAGCTTAGATATTGTAAAGAGCTTTAAATGCTGAATCCCCCAAGGTGTTCAGTTTCTGGGAGAAACTGAACTATACCTTCCTTAAGAAAGAAACTTTATCTTATTTACTGGGGCGGGGTGGGGTGTGTCAGTTGTTGGATTAAAGAACATGATCTATTTTTACTATGGTGAAGCAAAATATAAAAGGAAGCCTTTTATTTGTTTCTTGAAATTCTGGTCATTCAATAAAAAAGCAAAATATTTAACTTTTGTATGGTTTTAAAGCTGTAAACTACATTCTACAACATAAGTAACTTCATTTATTTTGAGATTATAAAAGGAAACTGCAAGAAGAAATATCAAATATTATATGAAATAGTGAATTTTATTGTATACCCAATAAGCAATGCAATCAGTATGATGAAGGTATAGTATTCAGTTAGATTAAGCTTTGCTGTACTGTCTTTTCCCTGTAACTGCAATTATAGTCCACCAGGAAAGCATAGCAAAAATAATAACAATCAAACTGATCGATTTTAAGTATTTTGGTGGAGAACAATTGAAGTTATTTTTCAGAAGGCGTAGCATGAAGAGCTTCACTGATGATTCTTTCTCAGTTAGCAAAGTTCTCCTAGTAATAATATTCTGGGGTACAAGGTACAATGTTCATTTGTATTCCTTATACAGATTCTTGACTTGTTAATATATTGGTTGAAATACAGTTAACTTGAAAGCCTTATAGCAAGAACTCCTTTATTTCTTTTACCAACATTATTTTATCTTGTTATCTGTGAGATGAGGATAATCAAAACCAAGGACTGTGTACTATATAATAAGCTTTGAGACCCTCAGAAGATACTATCTATAACAGTACAAACTTCTATTTAATAATTCCACTTTTGATCTGAGCTACGTTTTGCTGCTTGCATATACAGACATGACCATCAATTTACAAAGTGCTGCGTTTCGTAAGACCGTAGGAATCAAGCCACTATTACCAGTTTGTTCATCTGAACACGTAACAGTATTCTAGCTGGCGCCTCTAGTACAAATGTCCCCCTCAAAGGCAATTCATAAGGCCAAATACCTGTGCCATGCATCAGTACTTTTTGAGGATTTGCAGAAACTTCCTTTTCTCTGTCTTCCTTCTGAACTGTCTTCCTCTGCCCACAAACATCACTCAGCAAAGCTCCTTCATCAAGGTCATTCAAATTCTAGAACATGTGCTATCCTTGTCTTCTACCAACCATGATGAAGGAAAAAGAGCAGCTGAATCTAACTACTCCAGCAAGACTTAGCTTAACTTGTAATAGGATCGCAGTTGTCATGCCTGAGACAACACGAGGCCTTATATTTAGGACAGTGACTGAACTGGCACAGCTGTACAAGCCAGACCAAAATGCCATCTAGTGGCTGCCTGCTTCCATCTTTTACCACAAGGCTCATAAAATTTTTAAGGCCAATTCAGTCAAAATCATACAACAGATGAGAGAATTTGACTTTGACAATAATTATTTTTAAAGGTATGGGTGAGTGTAATTGAAATCCCTGTGCTGGCTTGACATGCGCAGTCTTTGAAATTCCTTGAAACTCCTTTGTCAGATAAAAATCAATCTTACAGAAGAAACTCAATAGGTCAGTTACAATTTTTTGTTCCTCTTTTCACTGATGGAGTGGAGATATCCTCTGCCTGGTAAACTGCACACTATCTTAACTTCAACATTTTAACTGCAATAGCTATAGTTAAGGTTCAGCTTAGTTGGTTTTTCCCCCCATCCTCTGAAAACAGGAAGATTTTTAGGCAGTTTCAGTGATATAATTTATATGATCTAGCAGTGATTTATAATGATAAATTTCATGATGAGTGTAAATTAACCCAAATATAAGCATCAGGGGAAAAAGTGTTGCAAGGTACCTTGTCACCAGATGGTGCTTTTGGTGGTGTTCAAAGGTCAGAAAGATAAAAAAGGGAGCATTTCAGGAAAAAAGCAGAGATAAGCATGAAGAAAATGAGATGTTATCTTATACCTCAGACTAGCTGTTTTCCTCTCTGAATTCCTTCTGCATGCAAACGTGAACATTTAGTAAAGACACTGAGTATTGAAGCATGTTGCTCAACACTGCCTGTAAGAGGGGGGGGTGGGTGGGGGCTCAAGTTTTTTCTCACTTACCCTGGGGAAACTACAGTACACTGATGAAACCTGACTGACTTTAACAGAACCATTCCCAACTTGCATGGCTGTAAGGCAGAGAATGTTTATACTTCTGATATTCCATTTATACTGCTACTTGCATTACGTTTGAATTTTAGTAAAATTTCAGCCCCTCACTCCAGGTTGTGAACACCAATGTAGTAATGCAAACTGTCATTTTGTTTAATTTCATACTAATATAGTGGAATATTAAATGCAGCAATTCAGGAGTCAGCTCAGCCTGTTCATCTGTTGGAGGGGAAGAAGGTGGAAGGAGAAGAGGGAAGAGAGGAACA